GTTTGGTAGTTAATCACATGGGTTGTAATAGTTATGAATTTCTACATCTTTTTTTTGAACCTGTGATAGCTTTAGCATCTGCTGCATCCTGTGACATAAGAATGACAGAAGTCTAAAGTGTCCATTTTTAGTTAGACTGTTGCCAGCTTAAGAGTTACAATCTTCCATTCCTTTCATTTTGTATCGTGTAAAACCCAGTTCTTTTTAATTTGTAAAATTCTGTATGAAACTTTAATGGATAAAGATGAGTTTTTGATGTGTACATATGGAAAGTGAGGCCCTGTGTACAAACTCTTGTTCACTGAGAAATACAGAAGAACTCTTCATAAAATCTCACTTCTAGTAAAGTCCAGTATGTTTACGCCTTGCATTTATCTTAACATGGAACCTGAGAACTGCTTATTGTCAGTTTTGCTCTTAGCAATGTGTCTTTTTGTGAAGACCATGGTGTTCATATCTATATATGAATTCTACCTACAAGAAGTTGGCCAAGTAATTGCCAAGTTTGTAATTTTTTACAAGAATAAAGGAAGTTTTGATTGAGATTTTGGTGTGAACTTTCTGTAATTGAGTAGCAGAGGACACATATTATATCAGTATTTGTCATACAGTCGTTCAAGAAAAAAGTAAGACATTCCTGAATAATTTGGAAACAGAACAGCATGTTAATGAAATGGCTCTTTCCTATGGTCAGTACTCAAACTTTCACCTAATCTGTGATTCTTCACTTAATGTGAAGAAACAATGATATAAATCAAATGGGATTGATGTACATTTCCAGACTTGGATTGCTCTGGAGTCTGTTGAGTACTTTTGCAGTCTGATATGAACTTATCCCTGGTTTGAATTCCTACTTCCTTCTCTTCAATATTAGGGTTTGTTAGCAGATCTTTAATGATGTTTAATGATGCCTAAGGCAAAGGATCCTTTGTGGCAAATATATGATTTTTTTTTTCTTTTAAATTTGTCAGAACAGGAAATGAGGCCACAGCTTCTATTGTCCATTAGCTGTTTATTAATTCAATTAGCTGAAACAGTGAAAGTGGTTGATTCTAGGGGAGATTTAAATAAATGTATTTGAATTTTATAATGACATGGGAAGCTATGCAGTGGAAATCTGCTATCTTGCATAAATAATCAAGTGATAAAATTAAACCAGCTCTTGTTACAGGTATGCACTTTGGAACCATTTGATGTTTTTCCAAAGTCGAGATAAAGATATAGAAAAGATTAAAAAAAGATTAGAGCAGTGGAGGAAGGGACATGGTTCTTCTAAGGATACCTCTGTCATCTTACTGGGAACTGTAATAGACCACTATGAGCAGGAATTAGTCTGTTTCTCTCAACAAAAAAAAAGTTTCATTCATCAACAGGGTTCTATTAAAAGCAAATACAAATCACAAGATTAAATGGTTGAATCCTCTTCCTTTGAGTTACAGACCTTCCAGAGGTGGATTCGTACCAGATTTTGCCAGCCAACTGAGGAGTCATTCTCTCTTCCTTTATACCAGCAGAATAACCCTGTGGAACATGTATTAAATCCAATATAAGTTATTTCCCAGTGTTGCAAAGAGAATTTTTGAATTTGAAAGTCTGTTCACTGGAGCTGTAATAAGATTGAGGAAAGTGTACTGTATAAAAAAAGTATAATTTGAACTCTGTACTAGTGCTGGGAGTATGATGCCTGTGCAGTATTAGTCCCTCAGAGGCATCAGGGGCTCATGCTGGGTAAATGCATTGACAGCACCTCCTGGAAAATGCCTCAGCTTACATGCTGCAAGTCTTATTAGCAAGATGCTACTCTGCTTTTCTACAGAGGAAATGGACATGGAGAGAGGACATAAGGGAAACAGAGCAAAGTTTATATGTACAGACACATTTCATCCACATAATATAAGTAGTTCACAAGAACTGCGTATTACATATGTTCTAGTAGCAAATTGCTGACTGTCTTTGTTAGGGAAACATGTTAAGTTAAAAAATACCCATATCCAATGGATAAATATCCAATACCTGAATGACAGAGAGATGGTGAAGCCACACGGACAAAGCTGACATGAAGCAGTATGAGAATTTAATAACCGTATTGACTCTTAGAGGTAGGATTCACAATGACTTTTTAAAGGAAGGATTTTAGAGTCTGACTTCAGTGACTTTTGCATGGTATCTTCTAAATCCTATTAAGGAGTTATAGAGGACTTTGCTTTCTTAATTGTTATGGACGAGAAGTTAATAATGGGAAAAAACCCAAAACCAAACTAGTACTTATTTTTATTAACAAAGGAATTGGAAATTGCTCTCTCTTCCAAGGGTTTAAATGAGAGAACACTGATTAGATAGTGATGATGTAGCTTGGGAGATGAGGAAGATTATATGGAAAATTCTTATAATACAGTTTCTTTTTCATTACTGTCTTGGTGGGTTTTGCAGTCATTATTAATACAGAAAACAGATTTAATACAGAAAACAGATGACCTGAATAGTAGTTGTTCTGGGCTAAAAGTGACCACTAATGCTGAAACATCTCACAAAAGATATCCTCCTATTTCTATGAGAAGTGACAGTAAAGTCTTTTGTCCCTGTCATAGAGAGGTTATATTCCAACAGTTGGATAGTTAATTGTCTTCCCCTTCTCCCTTTGGAGTTTGCTTTAAATATTTCTGGTGTGAGGAAGCTTCCAGGTGGTTTGAAGAGAAAATGTTTATGATATAATTGTCCAGTGCTGTGGTGCCAGAACAAGCTCTTGCAGTTAAAAGTTGGATGTGGTGATGCTTGCGGGTCCCTTCCAACTCAGGATATTCTGTGATTCTGAATTTTAAAATAGCATTGCTCATTGAAGCTTCAGAAATACTAGGAAAACTTGGATCCTTGATTTGGATTTGAGTTTGTCCATCCTTGTCGTTCAAGGATTCACGGGGAAACCGAGAGTTAGCCACCATTTGCTGTAATGAAAATTCTCCTAAAACAATCAAATGACCTTTGCATGGGAAATAACAATAGGATTTTTATAGTGTCTTGAGGAGTAGATCTGCTACTAGTTGTCCATCATGTTTAAGGAAGGTGTAATGGGACAGATACATCGTGAGGTTTTGGATCATACTGATTTTCCTCTGGCTGCATAGTCACAGTTTTGACAAATGTCATCAGTAGAGAAATCTTGTTTGGGTGGGTTTTTTTGTTTGTTTAGTTTTAAAGCACCTTGTTTGGTTAGCTTATCTAAAAATCTACCTGGAAAATTGCTCAAATTTAAAAATAAATAACAATTGCATGGAGGCATACTTGGCTCACGGTAAGATCTATTTTTGGAAAAGGTTTCTGTCTTGTTTTTATTTAATTTTAATGATCAAGAGTTTTACCTTTATTTGAGATATCCTAATGAATATTGACATCTTTTCCAGGCGTTTGTGATAGATAAATGAATGCATCCTCTGGATCAGATTTCAGAATCATTTGTGTAAGGGAAGCTATGCTTGTCTTCAGATAACCCCAGGTATTCCAGTAATTCCTAGTGTGTTTGAAGTTCTGCCTCTGCTTGTTTGGTGTTTACTCTGGTGGGTCTTGTGGTTGGAAAGGTGAAGTAGGCTGTAGGAGGCTGCTGCCATAAAAGTACAGCAATTTAAAAGGCAAGTGCAACCCCATGTAGGTGACTGTTCTGATGAAATGATGATTTAAAAAAACCAAAACCAAGGTGTGTCAGTCTAAAGTAACAGTAAAATTTTGATTTTATTTTTGTTGTGCATTAGTTGATGATTAGAACAGCAGACTGGGAGTCAGAACTTCTGTACTCCTCTCTCAATTCTACCATAAGCTTCTTTATTACCTTGAGATGCTTAATTGTCTTTTACTCAGCAGTATAATGAGAATAATGCTATTTTCCTGCTTCTTGTAGGATCACTGAGGCTAGTAAAGCACTCCTAGGACACTGGATAAAAGGTTCAAAATTTCAGGCTCATGTTAAAAGAAATAGTGTAGTTGGAATTGAGTCAAATGTTCACTCAACTGAAAATGATTAGGCTAAGTACCGGTTAAACTAAAAATGTTGCAGGAGAAGAGGAGACTGAAACAGGACAGGCTAAACTGTAAATACCGGTATGCAACTCTTTATTTCCTCGTGTTCTAGTTGATTCTTGACACCGTGAACTCTTGACTTGTCACTTAATGTTGTAAACCATCAGACACAAAAATGATGCTAAGGTTACAATACTTCAAAATCTAAGAATGACAAAAGTGCATGCCTGGATGAGGTATCCACATAGGGCATGTATTTGAACACATCCACTAAAGCACTCTTCTATTTAAGGATTCCTCCATATCCTTGTGCCAGATAGGGAGTCATGAAAAGAGTCCACAGTGTCACTAGATTAGGGTATGGTGTGTTGGGATTTTTGTGAGTTAACAATGAGAAGTCTTTATCATTCATTCATTCGTAAGGCTTGTATTTGTGATGAAAAGGTTAGTGCATTTCTTTCTCCCCTGTGTATTAGAAAATACATCTGCAGAGTATTCAGCTTTACCCATAGAGATGCTTTTTGGCTGCAGATATTTATGTAAGGTTGTGGGAGTTTTCATTTTCACAGCAATGTTTTTGTTTACTGAAACAGTACAAATAAGGCAGGGTTGCTCTTTTGTTGGAAAGCCTTATCCTACCTACTTGAGATTGTTTCTGGAGGACAGATTACTAATTCCTATAACATTTTTCCTTAGTTCTTTAATAATTAACTCAGCTATGATGCCCCAGATCTATTTTTGAACAATGTAATGTATAATATACCAAATACAGTTTTTCTATGTTGATGTTAGGATGAAAATTAAACATTAAGGTTATGTGGCCTAAACTTCCACACAGCATTGTCTTTGTGAAGCTGGGTGCTTACGTTAAACTAAAGAAGTGTTCTTTTCTGAGGAAGTGAGACTTAAATTCATGATGAAGGTATGAAGTTTGATCTCACAAACTGTTGACCGTTTACAGTTAAGAGTTAACTGCTGCTACTGTGCAGTTAACTGTTAATAGGACTGTTGTTTCTTGCATCTGGATGTAGGTAGAGACCCTGTGAAGAAGAGAATTGTACTTCCAGATAAAAAGGTGAATATAAAATTTCTTAGGTCACAGAGTGGGGTAAGAAAACTCAAGAAAGTCCCTGTTTTGAGGCTTATCAGTGTTCTGGTGCAAGTATTTATTCAGAAATTAAACCAAACAAATGAAACATGCCATGAAAAATGCAGTGAATAAAATTTAATTATTTTGTAATAATTTTCTTCGCTAGGTTTTTCAGATCATGGTGTGAAGCTTCCTGGGTGTCTCATCTTGAGCTACTTGCCACCTCTCTTTGTAACATGTCTTGTTCACCTATCTTTTTGAAGGGCTTATACTTTGTCTTCACAGGTTTACTTGCCTTCTTTGAGTAGCAGAATGAATTCAGGGGTCTCTCAGGGATTTCAGTTCATCCAAAGATGATAGCACTGTCATGTTTTTTCTCTTTTCCCTCTGCATTTTTGAGTTTTTACTTTCAGGACAGGCTCCTGTGGCTGTGTGATTGATACTGTGCACAGTTCCTCATAGTGAGACCGTTAAGGTTTTTGCTCTCTAAACTCTGATGTTTGTTAGGTGGCCTGTACCATAGTACTCAGGCCTTCTCTTTCAAGCTTTTCTTGCAGGATATTTCAAAGTATGAATAAGTGATAACAGGGAGGGAAGAGTTGTGAGAGATGCTGGATTCAAAGAAGCGTGGAGCTTGTTTGCAGCATTCAGCTATCTAGTGCACTTTGCAGCACTCTTGCTGTGAACTGACAGACTTCTCTTCGCTATTTGGGAAAATTTCAGGCCCAGAACTCTGGTCAAAACACTATTTAAACAAAAAATGGCTACTGCTCTGAAACCTATAGTTACATCTCTTACATTAAGGTTGTCAGACTTAATATAGAGGTGTCCTATACTCTACTATTTGAAGGATCAAAGGCTTAATAAATGTGATATTTCAAGTTGTGAGTTATTTTCCCTAGTACCCATTCACATGGAGTATCTTCTGCAGAATTTTTCTGGTGTTTATAAGTGAAGTGGACAGAAGTTTAAATTTTTTCTGGTAGGTTTGTGTAGTCTGTTTGATTTCTTTTTCTCTTTTTCCTCTGGATTCAAAATCTTTACTGATTGTAAACAAGGCATTCCCTCATGCTGGTGATAAGTCAAAATCTGTCTTGGGACAATTGCCTCTTTCTTAGCATGATGTCAGTGAAAAGCCTGAAAATGCTGCCATGCAGCAGCTTGCTTTCTCAGCTAGGGTAGTATTGTTTATTGTCAGGGGCTTGTTAGATCCTTAGTATCATAGCAACTGATTGTATATAGCATAGTCATAACATCCTTGGGTCAGATGCCTTGACTCTTTGTGGTTATACCCACAATCAGCAGGGTATCATAGTGTGTTTGTAGCTTGAGAATATAAAGACATATTTTGCTGAACCTATGCCTTGATCAGCTGAAAAGATTGCTTTCTGCTTTCTATTGTCACATCTCTGTCACACAGAAACAAAAATGAAGCACAGGTACACAGCTTTTGGGTTGAGACAGGTACAGTGGTTATCAAGGAGGTATTTTTCCATGTCCTTTCTGTTCCCCCAGCCCCTGTCATCTTATGTGATTACAGTAGTAGCCAAAAATATGTCTGTAAAGAGTCCATCATGAGGATAACACTCTCTTCTCTCAGGAGTTTGCAATCTGCATTAATTTTTAAGGCAGACACATATTGTATATTTCTATCAGTTGTGTCTTTATGGGAATAATTTGAAGGGAATCACTGCCCTCCTCATTTTTTCATCAGCATTTTATCTCTGTTTTGCTTAATTGCTGATTGCACATTTTTTAAAATAATGCTCCTAACTTATTGAGACAGGATTGTCTTGCATAGTGGATTTTATGAACATGTAATTTCTGATGTCAAATAATATAGCATTTAATTGGCATGCTGATAAAAGAAATGCTTCAATAGCTTTGGGTTTGTTTCCTTTTTTTATTTTTTTTCTGAGTGTGTCCTACAAATGCTATTACTAGTCTGAAGGATACAGATTCTGCTACCTCCCTCTCCCCCAAACCCTGTATCTTTACTAAGCTAATTAAGCATCCCTTGTACTAGATGGCAAATGACACTCTAGTATGTATGTAACGCTCTTGACCTGTTTACTCAGTCCTGGAAATTAATACCATGCCTGAAGTCTGATTTGGGCCTCTTGCCCAAGAGCTTTAGCATCATGGGTTCAAAATAAAACTACATGAATTCCACATGTTGATCTAGTGCTCTTCTTACCCTGTGAACCACCTGCCCCTTCTCAATATGGCCTTGGTTCATTCCATTTTCCCAGAAGGAAACTTGCTCCTTGTGTCTCTGCTTTCCTCTTCGAGGGATTCCCTGCAGCTTTGCCATTAGCTGCATGACTGGGATAATGTTTGTCATGACCTGAAGTCTCAGCTGGAAGGGAGCAGATCAGTCACCGGTCAGGTTGGAACCAGCTTCGAAAGATTGACCTGCTGCTGCCATATGACTCCGTGGGATTTGGCAGATAACCATTGCAATTTTTCTTGTCACATGTGCATATGTAGATGGCTTTGAATGAGAGGAAGTAGAAATACCAATTTCTGCGTAGTGCCTCTTAAATTATGAACTGGACATATGCATTGTTCATGGCATATTCATCCATCTGAAATCTTGTGGATGTTGAGATTAGAATTATGAAGACTCTATATTTTCCTGAAGTTTTAAAGAATTAAAAATAATACATCTATTTTTTTGTCTGCTTTTTTTTGTCTGTAAAGCAGACAAAATATGTTGAAGTCTGACCTTGTCAGTTTACTGTGTCTTCTGCTATACCTGGTAGAGACTGTTGCCAGTCTACTGCTGAATGATTAGAAGAGAATGTGTGCCTGTGCCTCATGCAGATTTGGCTTTTTAGCCTGGTATTATCTTCATTATCAGCTTTTAAACTGAGATTTGGGATCTTTTTGCATTGTGGTGGACCAGCAAAATCATGGGTCCATAATGGAGGAGAAATCTTTCTGACAATACCATTGCCAGAAGCCTTTTTTTACTATGATATGTTAGAGAGCACTTACAGGATGGCTAAAAATGGATATTAGAAGATACTACTTTTAAGTGTAATTTTTTTTCTTCATCTATTGCAGTAGATTTAGCCTTTAGTGTAAGTTGTCAAATTTAAATAAAATAGCTTTGCTGATAAATAATCTGGGTATGTTTATCTTAAATGTTTTCACTGAAGTTTTAAAAGTGCATTAGACCACTAAAGTTAGGGAAGTTGTTGAGTAAATGGTTGGATTCAGTTTGCTGAAGGGGCAGATCAGCTTGCAACAGATTTTCTTCAGTAGACATAGATGAAAAATTCTGTGTTTATTTCAGTGTAGTTTATGTCATTTTTTTTTTCAAGGAGAAGCTGAAAAGGGTTGTTTTCTTCTTACACAATGTAATAAAATTGAAATGTGATGTTGAGATCAGCTGTTTCCACTGATGAAGTGATGCAGCATCTAGAAGGTCAGCTCAGTTCACAAACTAATGATAATTCTTCATTTTATTTAAAATAAATAGTTTAATTTTCAGTGAAAAACATGATTAATAGAGGCACACGAATCCAAAAATCTAGTGTAGTTTTATTAGTAATCTTGTAAAACTTGGATTTCTGTAAATGGAATTCTAGTTTCCTTTGAAAATAACTTTATACAGTTGTGAGTTTGGGAGATGATCCTGAAATGCAATCCTTTAAAATACTGGGGGGTGGGGGGGTGGGGGGTGTTTGTTTGTGTTATTTGTTTGTTTTGTTTCGTTATTCCCCAGCAACATTGTTCACACTGGATTTTGGACTGTTGTCAGGGGTATTTCTTGTTCTAGACTGGGTCTTATAACACTTCAGAGTACCTCGTGTACTTGCTGTGTAATGTATGCAGATACAGCATGTCAGTTGGGCACAGATGGCAGTTTGGAGAACATCTGGTCCAGAAAATGAGAAGGAACATTTAACCACTTTTTTTTTTTTTTTTTTCCCCCGAATGAAAGATAGAAGTGGACAGAAAAGTTTTGAAGCAAGATAGAAATTGACAGGAAAATACCAGATGAACTACACTCGGTGGTGATAGGATTGTAGCATATACTGGAAACCAGTAATGGTAAATTCTACCTTCATATTTCAGTGCTATTTTTCCCTTCAGTATTAAGAAAGGTGCTCCAGCTCTGTCCTCTGGAAGAAGTTCCATGGTGCAGCTGAGCTAAGTTAACAACTTTCTGTAATGTCTCCCTGCACCTAAGTCTTGTGCCTGCTCCTTAACTTCAACCCTAACACTCATCTGACCCATCAGTGTTTTAATCCAGCTCCCTAAGGCCACAGAGTATTTCTCACTTTTTAAAAAATATTTATTTTCTGATATTTTAAGAAATTGAGTCTGCCCAAGGACAGGAGTCAGACAGCACCCAGCAATGAAAAGGGGGATGAGGGCCAACCAAATCTAGGAAGGGAAATTGGAGCGGGCCATTGGGGTGGTAGAGATTAAGAAGTCTTTCTACGGCAGAGGCTACTTTGAACACTTCTCTTGCAGGCCTGTGCCTTTAGGAAGGAGTCATACTTATCTATCTGACAGGGTTGCTAAAAAGACTTTGTAGTTTGGCATTCAAAGCATCGCAAGTGGTGAGAAAGATCTTACAGAAACTATCCTGCCTTACTGTATACCGAATATACTACTACTTTTTCCATAAAGCTTTATTTCTCAAGAGACAATACTTGGATAAAGCTGTTGGATTACCATTGACAGTGGTAACTGCCAGTCACATATCGACTCTTCTGTTGAGGAGTGAAGCTTCTTAGTTTTAGTAATTTTGTGGTTAGAGCAGGGCTATGTGTTTGAATTATTGAAGGTTGCTATGAGAAACCCAGTAGTGTTTCCGTAGGGCATAGCAATGTAATTATAGACGCTTCATTTGAAAATTGATAAGGTGTCAGTTATTTGTAGCTCTACTTCTGAGCAAAAAAGCTCTGTTGAACAGAGCAAATGACCTGCATGCACCTGATTTTTGTCTGCATCTGCATGTGACATTCCAGAAGATAGACTTGAGTTTGCTTTTAGTCTGT